ATTCGTTTGAACGCCCCCCTCCCCCCAACAACTCTTATCGTGTAACATTTACATTATTGAAATAATACAAATCTGTAGAAATTGCACTTTTGTAAGCAACGTACGTTCTCCAGAAGAACTCTAATTCCACATCAAAATATATGAAAATTAAAGATGCAATGGCCGTGCAAAAGAAACGCGGTGAAATCAACAGTTTCTCGCCCGTTATTATCGCGGATTCAGATCTGTTTCCCCGACCCTGACTAAAGCTCTTTCACTTCTCTGCCTACAGAAAGTCGAATGGCATCACAAGAGAGAATGGTGTCAACTTATCCTTGAATATTCTGACAATGTCAAAAAAACAAAACCATGCTACTTTGTAAGTTATTATGAGTATTATTGTTATTAACTTCAAACTACCAATATTACACTTTCACAGTTGTATTATTTGCTCCCGAAGCATGATTTTTAAAAGAGAAAATTCACTTCCTTTCGTTTTGACTTCATTGGTTTTGCAAATACTAGTTTCCTCCTAGATGATGATGATGATGATGATGATGATGATGGATGATTATTATTATTATTATTATTATTATTATTATTATTATTATTATTATTATTTAACATTAATATTCATTTAATTCTGGGTCTTTTAAACACTTCACTATGACTATTTTTAAACACAAAAATTCACCCAAGTGCTTATTAATTTTGTCTGAGCGGTCGTCAAACGATAAAAGAAATTAGAATTAAACATACGTAAATTATCAAATACTTCATGATATCTGTTGAGATACACCTATTAATCACTATTTTACTTCAAAACTACTCCAGTGCCCAGCTGTTACGCAATGCTCTAGATTCCACAAATTTGAAAGCCCCTGCATTTCGAGGCCACGCGAACACGCAACTCATCTGGGTGGTCATTTGTAACCGTAGTGGCTAATCAGGGTGCCCGCTGGTCACCTGAATCTATCTTCCCTGCATTTTGCCGTTACTTTCCCTGCGGTTTCCAAATTTTCCTTCCTTAAATCTTTCACCCCGGTGAATAAGCTGATAAGTCATGAATGCTTAAAGTTTACAGGAGAGCAAAAAACACCTTTTAACTGAAGAAAATTAGCGATTAATGACAATCAAACGAAAGTGATATTCAAACTAAACTATTTGTATGCAAGTATGTACTATTTGTATTTATAGCATCAGCTGAGAGTTATTCTTTTTGGCTCTCCTGTAAAATTTAAGCATTCATGACTTATCAGCTTATTCACCGGGGTCAAAGAAATAATCTCCATAAGATTGAAAATATTTTGAAATATAAGTCGCACAAGTAAAAATAATAGTTCGAAATATAATTTTGGTTCCTAACTCCAGATCTGAAGTAAAAATGTTAACATTGAAAATGTCCGATCCAATGGTAATGCTAGGAAGAGGCACTGAGACTGTGTTTAACCACCCAGAGAAACGAATACACAAGTAATGCCTTACATACAGCTCTCAAAATAAGATAATAATTATAATTATAATAATAATTATAATAATAATAATAATAAATCAAACTGTCATTTTACAAGTTCTTTTTTAAATTAGTACGTGGCTCTACGCCCTTTACACTTCAACTGGTGTTGACCGCCGTTACGTGCCTAACAAGCGCATCCGTGATGCACAAAAACTATTATAGAAAATGGACTGTGGAAGGTCAAAACGTGCAACATATCACACTACTCGTCGAGCACCTCACTGAATTACTTCCAGCCAAATATTAAATTCCTTGTTCAAATCCTGGTATGCTACACTGAATGTATTAATAGTGTATTGTATATTATTATTTAAATGATGAAAACGGGTAATGAAATCAGGGCATTTCACAGGCACTCCTGGCCGGTTAGATTACTCAGAACGATTTCATGGAAGGCAGTGTATTTCTTCTAGTAAAAAAACTCTTATCACAGGCCCTAGTAACGAAAAGTGGATAAATTTTGTTCCTTTATGAAGTAAATCACTCTTTTTAACATGTGTAGTCAGAATCCATGTTTTGTGCGCCCTTGATTCCAAAAAAATTGATCTGATCGGTCTGTCAGTGGTCAACGCTAGTGCCTAAACCGTTCAGAGTATTTTCTCTGAAAATGATATTCCCCGATCGATATTAAGGAACTCGAAGACCAACTAGTTTGAAACGGATATTTTGGTTTTTGAGCCTTCATGTAAAGTGTCCCTAAAAATCATTTTCTAAATTTTCTCAAAAAGGATTCCAATTTTTTTTTATCAAACTTTGTACTTGGATGGCATAAAACCGTTTAAAAAATGGCGAGGGACTCTTTCGTTGAAATCCCTGATTTTTTCGAAAACTGAAAAAGTTCAAAATTTGTTTGGAGTCTTCTAACAACTTCAATATCGAAGAAAGAGATTGTTTTTTCATAATAAAATCTGTTGTTCAGAGACACATCTTGACATTAGGTCAATTACATTCTTTCGAAATTACGAGTAATCTAACGTGATATTTGAGCAATTTTTGAATAATTATTTTCTCAAAAACTGCTCTTTTTCACTAAATTTCCTCCTCATATGTAACGGTACAAAAAGTAACTCGTAAGAACGTGGGAGAAATGGCTGCTTGTCTCATTTTAGGTGAACTCAGTAATTTCGAAAATAGCTAACAAATAACATTATTAGAGTACAATATTGAAGATAGAGATTTTTGTGTTAAGTGAAATTTGTTCTAAAAGAATCAGATCTTTAAAAAGGGCCATGCACAAGTTCTGGGAAAAAGTAGTAGTTTTCGCGTAATACTGCCTAAAGTTCATGTAATTATAAAAAAAAATATCTTTTCGAAAATCGCTCCAACCTTTTTTTATTTTTTTTCCCAAGGACAGAACAATGGATGCTTAAAAATGGCGCAGGTCTCATTTGCGTCAAACTTCCTGAATTTTCCGAAATTGCAAGTCGAGTGGGATGCGATAATAATGCGAGTGGATTGGATTTGCCGTCGTCTAATATTTCGGTATCAAGGTCTCACGAAACCGATTCTAACTACACAACGTGGTAGAGCAAGTAATTTATTACAAAGAGAGAGAGAGTCAAATCCACTTTTACGATACAAAGGACCCCGTAATACCAGCTTTCCTTTCAAGAAATCACCGATTTTCCCCGGAGCTGTACATTACATCATCTTTTCAACGTAAGTACATAATATGACGAGAAAGTAAACATTAAAACGATCGTCTATTGAACAAACATTAGTCTGCAAATACAATTTAGAAATATGTAGCTTTTTCATTATTCACTTTATCAATGAAAATTATTGCAGCATAAAACTGGCAATAAAATAAACCAGATATTTCCAAACAATAGAAATGTTCTCATTTTCTCTAATAATAAAAATTATTTAATATTTTTCTCTGTAGAAAAAAACAAATTGTACACAAGCCCCTTTGATGTAACTTCCTTTCCAATATTGTACACACATGAGAATATTTTAATTGTGAAATTAAAATAATTTCATGTACTCATAGGAAAAGTACTTATATTCATATATACATGCAAAATTATGTCAGTTCCATTACAATTCAAACTACAAAGATAGTATATTTTCAAATTAAGTAAGTACATATTTATATTTGAACTCTACATTACCATTATCGGATATAGAGAAATCACAATAATATTAAAAGTAGCAGAAACTCTCAAACTATGCCTCGTATAAAGTAACATGTAATGACCATGATTTATTATGCTACATTTGAGTATATATATTTTTTTCTGTCTAAAAGATCAAGTCATTGGGTTAATTAACTTCAATGATTCTTCAATATGATTTTTTGAATTAAGAATATTTACAGGAATGAGGTTTCCAGGTGGAATTAATGACAATCAGTGCAATATTTCCTTATTGCAGAAAAAAATTCACTAAATAAATATATATTTTATTATAGAGAAATATTTTTTTTTTACAATATGGAGGCAATGCACTGATGTTCTTTAATTTCACCTAGAAACCTCATCTCTGTGTCTAATGCTAATTAACTTCACAGAATAAAACAAAGAATTTTTATATACAAAACAAAACAAAAATTAATACAAAATAAGTATAACAACATTTGACATTTTGTGCTTGTATTATCTCGGTGGAAAATTGCCCATTTATTCACCCACACAAAAATTAACAGAATGCAGAACATTAACATAACAGAATGCTTGGGCCCAGTATTGCTGTGGCTCTCAAATCCATCACTTTGAAACTAATCAAAGACTGTTTTCATCTAGAGAAAATACTGCAATTGAAATGGCTTCAGACTAGCCTCACTAAAGAAAATAAAAATAATATCCCACCATATAAATATTACAAAAGAAAGGAAAAGTCCAAATAAATTATTTTTCTGGCAATATTTCACATAATATCTAACTAATGTCAGCAGAATACATCTAATACTTCTATAGCATGTATCCACAATAATGTTATTTAAAAATAAAACCTGTTAATAACAATTATGGGTGTCCATACTCACAAATATTTATAATATTGAGTAAATGTGCAGTTCAATATTGCTGAAAATTCATACATCCACAAATATTCTATAGCATATGTTGCATGTTTATAACATATTGTCAAAGAAATAAATGACAATTCTAAACTATTAATAATGTACTTCACTTAAAACTATAGTTTAAGTAGTATTTTAATTAAAATTCCCGCGAATGTAAGAAAAAACGTGACACCGGCAATTTTTTTTTTTCTGGTCATATACTTCCACACACAAATCTTAAACATGTAACTTCAATCCGAAAAAATATATTTAATTATATTATCACTTTTTTAAATCTAAATATATTTCATCATTGGCAAAAACAAAATTTAAAATTTTCTGAACTCCGCGTCTCACATTGTATCTTTGTGTATACTAACAGTTCTTTCGAAGTCCTGTTTTGACATTTCAATCTAACCTCTCGACAGTAAAGTCCGTATGTATGTGCACTATTTCAATCATTTTATACAAGTAGTTTATTGCCAACGCTCAAATACCTACCAGAAAAATATTCTTCTTTCCACTTAATCGGACTTCGGCACGTTCAAGATGTTGCCACCGCGAACAATTTGAATCACCCCTCACTGCAACAACCCAACCTCGAAGAAGCACGAGGATACTGTCCTCTCCGCTCGGTCTGACACACAGTGGAAGTATATCTTTATGCCGATGAGAGCGCTAGTTGAATAAAGATTTAAAATATTGCTAACAGATGCCGCGAGTATACTCCTCCGTCAAGGTGAATTCTTCCATGGTTATATTCTGCTCAATACTTCCTTTACTAATGTAGCCAAGGAAGTACTCCTAGCTCTATTCGCTTTAAAATAGTGACAAAAACGCAACTTATGAAAATAACACGGTCGCATAGGAATATGTACTTACGAGTGGCATAGAGAATTTTCGTTTCATTTTGTGCTGGCAATGTCGCCAACACTCGCAAAATTACCTGATGTGTATTGCAAAAACGTTATACTTAATATGAGGAACAACTAATCAAAACGCTTATAGTCCACAGGTGAACAAAATTGAGTTTGATATGAAATCATGTAATTTTTAATACGTTATTCACGTTTCTGCTTTCATATTTCTTCAAAACACATTTTGACACATTAAATTAAATCCGTTTGAAAATAGGGGGTTTTGTCTTAAACAAAAGCTTCTAAAAATGAGCTCTTTAAAAAAAGTCATAACACTATTTTTTTGAAGAAAAAGAGAACGATTAGTTTACGTATGCGTTTAGTGTGCTTAAAAGGTATGCAATTTATAAAAACTGTTACTATTTTATCCTTTAATTTTATCCACGGATATGTTATCGGTATTTTATCCACTGTATTATCCACAGGAACGCTTCGAAGAATGGTGCTGGTCTCATTTTCGTTGAGCTCTCTGAATTTTAGAAAATTACAAATTTAGAAATAATGTGAGAAAGTATGTGCTGTTGTAGTACCTCTAGTTTTAATATGTAGCACCGAATTACTGTTTAATTTAATTTTCATATAAAATGTACAAAAAATAAAACTGCATTGGAGAAAAATAGATATTGGGAGTGAAACTCGGTGTTTCTAATTATAGGAATAAAAATTATGTATTATTCTTAAATTTGTATGGGCAGGGCTTGATTTCTGGCGGAACGGGACGAATGGCATTCTGGTACCTCGGGAATAATTATTAAATTATATTATAATATATAATTACTTCTATTAAAAGAATAATTTGGGGCGCGTTGCGGGACCTAAAAGTTTATTAATCAAGCACAGTGTATGGGGAATATTGAAATATATTGGAAGAAATATTAAAACTGACATAGTCATATCCAGAGGAACGGATTTTAATGTGTAATTTTTTTTCTTTTCTCTTTAGAACAATGCCCTTTAGCATAGACATTAGTTTAAGGAAATTTTTTCAAGAAATTACCCATTTTACGACCGTTTTTAGCATTTTATGACCATTTTTCGTGTATTAGGTTATTTTTTACTTTTCCCGTTATTTTTAAAGCATTTTCCGCTGATTTTATCCATTTTTACATCATTTGTTTCAAATAATATTTACGAAATGCAACAAAGTCTCCACAGAATTCCTGAATATCCTATTCGATTTCTTCGCTCAGAAATATTAATGTCAGCCGTTGTATGTAATTTAAGGTTACTGTGACACATATTAGCGCCACTGTCGGTTCGGCCGATTTCGCGATAACTACAGACAAGGATGTTCTGGAACGGAATTATTATTAGCCTATAACTTCCTATAATGAGCAAAAGCCTCCTGCTTTCACAGGGTTACATTAGGTTGATATTTGTAAAATCATCTTCTTTTTGCTGTTCTTATCCCAGTTGTCTCCATGTTGTCCTCTCTTGGGCCAGTCTCGTCCAGTTGGGACCAGCTTTCCTTAGCTCGTCTGCCCAAATTCTTCTCTCTCCATTGGTTCCTCCAGCCATACCGAGGGTCCTAGCTTGTAGTAGTGTACAGCCCTCGCTTTTGGCCCTGTCTTTTGATATGTCCTCCCCAACGCCATTTATTCACTTTGGCTTGCTATACTGCATCCTTGATTTTGGTATTTTTCCTAATTTCCGTGGATGGTATTTTGTCTAAGAGCGAAATGTTTAACATCTTTCGTTCCATTTTCCTCTTGCATCGTTGTGTTCATTTCATCTGCGCTACTAATGAGCATGTTTGTGATCCCTAAAAAGAGGCAAGATTCACACGTCTGTTAATACATTTTTGAATTTGAGGTTTATCTTTTTATTTAGTAGTATGAAAGAGAGGCTCCAAAATTTTCTCCATGCTAATTCAATTCTCCAATTGTTCTTATCTCCTCTTTCTGTAAAAGATTCTAGCTGGCCCAGGTAAACATACTCTTTCGTAACTTGACGTTATCTATGTAATTGTCGTTCACCATTATTAATTAGGGTTCGCTATAACTAATTACTTTAGTTTTCGATCAATTCATTTGTAAACTGACCTCCACGCATCTTGCGTTTACATCGCTTAGCATTTCTTTTAGAGTTTCAGGCGCTGTATTAAATAGAGAGATGTCTGCAAAAAGGAAGTTTGTTAACCGCTGACCGTTGACATTTACGCCTGCTTGTTTTGACCAATTTAGTTTACGAAAACACATTTCAAGCAGACTATTAAATAATTTTGGGGAAATTCTCTAAATTCACTTTCTCCTCTCTTAATTTGAAATATTTCTCCTTCTTGATCTGTTCTTGCTTGTGATTTGCCGCGGGCGAATAGTTGTTTAAAAATGTTAATACATTTATTTGGGATTCCTTGTTTCTTGAGTGCTTGGAGTATAAATGGGTGCTCAACACAGTCAAAAGCTTTCGTAAAATCAACAAATTCCATGTAATAAATTCTTATGTTTTTGGATGATCTGATTGTTTCTAGGTGGCCTGTAGTGCGTGTTCGAAATCCTGCTTGTTTTAGTGTCCGTTGTTCATCTAGTATTTTGGTCATTGTTCTTGTCAGGATTTTAGAAAAGGGCTTTTACATGTTCGACATAAGACTAATTAGCCGATAGTTAGTGAGATCGTCTCTGTTGCGTTTTTTGTGAATGAGTATTATGGTGCTAATTAGTGCTATTGTAGTTCTAGGGGATACATTCTTGGCTATCCGGGACGAGCCACGTCTCGTTCAATTGTGCTGACGTTTCGGCCATCTCGCTGTGGCCTCCTTCAAAGCTATACTGCTGCAGCAGCTCATCCCGGAATGCCAAGAATGTATTGACTCCGGCTGCGGAAGCCTACAAAACCGTAATTCTCCATATGTGTTCCGTTGTTAATGTATAGTTGAAAAGTTTGACAATTTCTTTGAGTAATTAATCTGTACCTTTTTTTAAGAAGTTCGACAGTAATGCCGTCATCTACCGGCGTATCCGGCGTATTTCCAGTTTTCATTTCCGAAATTCCCCCACGTATTTCGGATATGATAAGTGGTGGAAATTCAGTTTCATCTTTTCCATTGTCATGCCGTTTTGTGGGTGTATGACTTGTGCTTTCATAAAGGCTTCTGTAATGCTGAGTAGATGTTTTATTTATGTTTTTTTCCTTCAGGACACGTTTTTATCGTCAGGATTTTTTAAAGCTAGTATTCCTTCCATATTGAAGTTTTATCTTTTAGTAATTCAAGAGAGTTGCTATTTTCCATAATTCTGTGTGTTAAGTGTGTCAGATGGTTTCTTCGATCTCCGCGGATTGATTCTTTAACTTTCTTGTTTAGCGCATTAACGTGTTCTGAAGTATGCCATCTGGGTCGTAGCTCTTCGCTTTGGTTCATAAGTTGTAGAGTACCTTAATCTGCATTTTTCATTGGGTCTTGAGCTGTCCATAGTTGCATTTTTTCCCTCTGATTTAAAACATTTTTCAAAATTGTTGTATTTCTCTTAAGTACTTTTTTGGGTAGGCGTTGATTGTTCCTTTCTTATCTTGATTCTGATTTCTATTTCGGCTCTGAGAACTGTTTGATATATGCTTTCGCTGAAATTATGTGTTAGTATTTTCTTCTCGTGGTGATATTTCTTCCTATCTTTGCGTATTTGGATATCGCATTTTAGAAGTCTGTGGTCAGATTCAAACTTCAACTCTTTTTCAACATTTATATTTAGAACACTTTCTAGATCTGTTAATATTCGTTTCTTCAATTTCGTTTTTGTGTTGACCATCTGATGAAATCCAACTCCATCTGTCTTGATTGTCCAATTTGTAAAAAGTATTTACGATTTTTAGTTTATGTTCTGCAAATTTCTCCTCTTTCGTTACATATTCCTAGGCCAAAGGGGCCACAGGCTATCTCTTCTGTGTTGTTCATTTTCTTTCCTACCTTACAATGAAAGTTGCCAATTACAAAATTCCTTTCAGATATAAATTGGTTAAGTGTGCTGTCTAGAAATCTTCCAGTTCTTCTTCTGTACTATTCGTGGTTGGGGCATAAGCTTGAATTATTGAAATTTTCCTCTTCCCTATGTTAAATGTAAGAACACATATTCTCTCGGAAATTCCAACTATATCATCCATTAATTTTTTAAATTTCTTGTGAACAATGAAGTCTACATCTTTCTGACCTTTAGTCTTACCTATACATGAGAATAGGATTCAGTTTTTCTTTTCTATTATGACCTCTCCTGTTTTCCTTATTTCACGTAGACCAATAATATCATATTGGATGTTCTCTATTGCATGTTCTAATTCTATATCTCTTTCATTTGAAACTAGAGATCTGACGTTGCAGGTAGCTCTATTATGTGTGCGCTCTATTTTCTCTACTATTTTTGTTGCTGTTATTATCGGCCGTTGGTAGTTTATGCTTTTGGGCGGAGATGTATTTAGTTTTTTGCTTCACTTGCTTTGGATTGTTCAATCAGTGAGATTCACTTCCCATTAACTTGCAATTTTTGGAAGCCATTTTCCACAGTATTGCCTTTTTGACTTTGTTCTCTGGCTTTGGCACAACTTTTTGTTCGTATCTGTCTTTCTTGTTTGGTCACATCGTTTTCTATAAAACAATAATGTCCCTTAAATTTATATTTGTTCTTCATTACCGATATTTTGTCTTCTACTGTTTTTATTCGGACTCTTACCATTCCTCGTCTTTTCCAATCTTGGCCGATGTAAGTGTGTGAACTATAAGCTAAGTTTATATACATGTAGTCC